GGCACCTCCCTGCCTCTCCTCCCCTGCCTTCTCCTCCCCTGCCTTCTCCTCCCTCTCCTCCTCCTCTTCATTCTTAAAATAGAAGAGATCCACAGGTTTAATTGAGAGGAAAAGGAAAAGAGGACATGATCATCGATACGAGGTCCCTGAGCAGCCGCTAGTGAGGCCGTTTTGCTGGCGGTTAGTGTGACAGATCCTACCAGAAAAGATGGCGGTGACAGAGGTGAGCGGGGCCGGACAAAGCAATCCTAGAAACAGGTACAAGGTAAAGAAAAACTGAAACTTACAGGTAATGTAGCAGAAAATGAAGAGAAGAGGAGGACTAAAACATTTTCAACAAGACAAAACAAACAATAAGAAGAACAATAGTCAGGTTTAAATTAAAGTATAGAAGTAGTAAAAGAATAAATTATATCCATGGGAGTGGACGAAGGGATGAAGGCTGGACATTTAAGTCCAGTGGCTGAACATTAAAAATAAAATCAGGCCCCTGACCACTGTGGCTCAGTTAGTTGCATGTCATCCTGCAGAGAAAAAGGTCGCTGATTCTATTCCCGGTCGTGGCCCGTACCTGGGTTTTGGGTTTGGTCCCCGGTCAGAGTGCGTGTGAGAGGCAACCAGTTGATGTTCCTCTCTTATGTGGGATGTAGCTCTCCCTCTCTTTCTCCCTCTCTTCCCCTCTCTCTAAAAATAAATAAAATCTCTGAAAAAAATCAAATCAGGAAATTGGGATCAAAAATAAAGATCCCAATTGTAAAGAACTGTATTTTTTTCTTTAAATCATAAATTAAGAACTTAAGAAAAAATAAAAGACGAAGTACAAGCGGGAAACCTAAAAGTTAGAGATTATCATCTAGTGTAGAAATAGGAAAGCATATAACCAGAACATTCCTGCCAATGGAAATATCTAAATCCAGGGTAGCTAGTTAGGCTTATTTTTATTTTTACTTCTTTTGTAGGAAACGGCTGACAGGACAGTGGCCCATGAGACAGGTCTTCGGCACAGGGTTGTCCTCTGTACCCGTCCTCGCGCCCTCTCCCTCCATCAGCTTCCCTCTCTCCGGCTCCGTCGGTGCAGTGCCCACCGCGTGTGGACACACTACAGGGGACGCTGGATCTCCCACTGAGGAGGCGCTCAGATTAAACAGCCGGTGACTGATGAGGCACCACAAAGGCTAAGATGGCTGCGATCTCAGGGTGCCTTGGAGACATGAACACAGCCCCCAGCTCAGCCTTAGGAGGCCGGGAAGGCGTCCGAGGGGCTCTGTCGGCCGACTTCCTGAAGCTCGGGCGGCGGTTGGCCGTGGAGCAGTGGGGTTGGCGTTTCAGGCGAGGGCCACACAACGCACGGGCTCCGAGAGCGGGAGGCCGTGGGGCCGGCGCCGTGCGCCTAGAGAAGCCAGTGACCTTCCGTCCCCGTGGGGCTCTCAGGGCGTGGAAGGAAACGTCACCTGCACAGTGACGTGACTGCTGCTTACTAAGTCACTCAAGCCAAAGTGGAGGGTTTCAGGCTGCTGGGTTGGGGAAGAGAGTGTATCTTTTTCCTTATTCACTCACAGAACCCTTTAAATAGTTGCATATTCTTTGTACCAAAATAGCTTTCCTCCTTTTCCCACTAGTTGGGGTCGTCTTTTCAGACCTCGATTATTTTATGTGTGTGTGGTGTGGTACCTTTGGTCCTATTTTCACAAGAGCCTAAGGGAAGGGAGTAACCTTCGTCCTTGTGCCCTGCTCTTTTGAGTGAGCCATTCCCGCGCTCCACGTGGGCGCCTGGACCTCGCCGGCGCTCCGCTCCTTCCCTGGACGTCACGCGCCCTCCCTCTTGGCGCCCGACGTGGCCAGGGGTGTTTGATTTCTGTGCCAGGCCTGCCGCCTCCGTGCGCAGTGGGTCTCCAAGGTCCTGCACAATGGTACGTGGCTCTATTGCATTTCTCGGTGCTCAGGGTGTTGCCAAACATCCACGTTGACGTTCATTGAGGTGAGGGTCCCTAATTGTTCCTCATGAGAATTGTTCCGTTTTGGTCAAGGAGTAAATAAAAGTCTCTGTGCTGTGTCTGGACTCAATAGGAAAGGCGATACAGGGGAAAAAAAGTTAAATTTTTCTGTAATGCCGTATTTTTCAGCTTTACTGAGATGTAATTGACAAAATTGTAAAGTATTATATATGGTATTTTATATTATCTGTAATTTCACATTTCCATGATAACTTCTAGTAAGTTTTTCCTGACACCGTAACTAATAAATGCCAGGAAGTCAGAGGTGATGTCCAGTTCTGAACCTGGCAGGAAAAACAAAACAAAACAGAAGTAAATGATTTTGAATTTGAGCAAAATTGCCATTGGCAGCTTTTATGGTTCACAATTATATGGATACTTCACGTTTTCACGTGATGAGTTGCTTCGGGCGCAGTACCTGGCGCCGACCGAGAAGCGGTGCCACCTAAGGGCACCAACCGCTCCTCTGGGGAAGCGGGTTTTCTGTTTTTTAGCTGTGAACATTGTTTTCATTGTTAAAGTTATTTTTTAAGCATGCTGCAGTGTTAAGTGGCTGTGGAAACCCCTTCCGTTTTTCCTTTTTTAGAACTTTCGTTACCAAGGCTGTTACAGAGGCTAACCCACGCCCCGCGCCTCGGCCACTTCCCCCCGCTCCCACCCTCACTGTCTCTTCCCAGTGAGAAGAAGAGCTGCTTTGAGCAGGAGGCGGGATTTCTTACTCTTGCTTATTGATGCGTGTCCTGTGAGGAGTGTTTTCAGGGCCGCGTGACATCTGGCAGCCGCGGGAGCAGGGACGTTTTTTTGCTCATCCTGTCTGTTGTGGGAATTGGTTTGCCTGCTGCTCACAGTCTGTCCTGGCAGGTGGAGGCCCTTTTAAAAGGTGGGCTGTGCCCTGTGGTCGCACCCCTTGCAATGACTTGCAGCCTTAGCCGTTGTCACTGTCCCTGAGCATCTCTTCTTCCCAGTGGCCAGTGACACTGTCGGCGCAGCAGGGAGAGAGGATGAGACGGAGCTGCGGGATGTTCGGCAGTTCTGGGTGGATTTCATGAGCCTTGGCGTGGAGTCCCTGCGGCCACCGGGCTAGACCACTAGGGCAACATAGGGCGCCACCCACAACCCGAAAGGGAAGGAGTCAGTTTGAGAGCACCCAAGAGTGGAGGAGTTGTTACAGACATTTTCACATCCGTGTAACTCTTGCGAGGTCCCAATTTTATCTCAGTCTTTATCAGTAAGTAAAATTGAGGGTGAGGAGTTGGACCCCGCGCCAGCCGGGCCCCGCCTGTGTCGCCGCCTCCCGGCCGCACCGGGAGCACTCAGGGGCCCCAGGGACGCAGGAGGGCCTCGGGGAAGTGGGCGTCTCGCAGACGACACGTGTACAGCTCTCTAGATCGTCTCAATTCTGCCTTTTCTTCAGGGTTTGTGCAGCGGCGTGTTTTTAAAAATCACAGATGAGACACTCAAAACCAGTTCTTTGCTCCCATTTGGATGCAGTCGTGGAAGTTTTCCCAAGACAGTGGGGTTGTCCCAACATGTCACTGAAATGCTTATATTTTAAACCGCATAATAATCTGTAAAACAGACATATATCACGGAGAGTGAGCAGTCCGCTTCACAGTTTCACAGCGCCTTGACTGTGTCGAGCAGTAGTTGACTGCCAAACTCTAACTTGATCGGGAAGGGATGGGGCTTTGGAGTGCAGAAGTAGCCGAAGGGAAGCGTGAGTCGTGGCTGTAGACAGCGTCAGTCACAACAATCTGAAATCACGCGTCGCCCGCGTACTGTGTCTTAGGAGACCTCTGGTAGCAGACGTGCTCTCACGCCTCCCCATGATAAGTGAGCTTGGGAAAGACACACTAAGTGGAAATGATAGGCGTAACATTCCTCTGTAGTTAGTGGCTTCTGCCCATTTTAGAGCTTAAGTCATGTAAGCATTGTGGAAAGCAGGTATTTTCCCACTGGTATTGTCTCTTTACACTTTTTTGTTGATTAATACTTACTTAATATTTTTATTACGTACTTGCTTCCCGTGCTGGGCTTGTGCTGGCACCCTCCCCTCCCCGGCCCTCCTGGTGCTGGTGGCCAGGCATCCAGCAGGCACGGGCTCGCTGTCCCCCGCTGTCCCCCGCCCGTGAGCCTGCAGTCTTCAAATGCCCACCCCCCTCTGGGCTGCCCCTGCCCTTTCATGTTAGCGTGTTGTAAATGGGAGGAGGCGGAGGTGTGGGAGGAGGGCGGGGGTGTCTGAGCCGTGGCCATCGGTCGCCTTTGCAGAGTCGCACATTGAGGGGCCGCCCAGCCAAGCCGGGCGCACGGAGGACGGAGGACGGGCATCTGAAACCAGCTGCTCCCCCGAACCTAGGGCAGGGCCCCGGGATCTGCAGTCTTGGCATCTCGTTAGGCGGGGACAGTAAGTCAACGTGGATTCTATGTGGAATTGTAGTTTTTTAACAATAAATGTATATTAGAGGAATAATTATTCTAATTGTTATTTTATTTAAATTTCTAAATACAAGCCAAAAGTGAACTTTTCTAACTTCCCTTAGGCACTTACTAAGAAATACAGTATGTTCAAGCGCCCTTAAATGTCAGCAGGACCACTTGGTAACTGAACAAAACGTTGGTCTGGCTTCCTAACTTACCCAGGCAAAGCCCGTCTCTCCGGGTAGGGGGAGGTGGGGTGGGAGAGAGGGGCCTTTGGAGGCACTTCGGTCTCCTGGGCTTCTGGGGGTTTCTGTATTTGCCTTCTCTTCCTCTTCTCTTCACCAGCCTACACTGGATATTACAGTCTTCTCTATTTTTGACAATCTATCAACAGAGTTTTTCGCTTTTAATTTGCTTCACAGGAATGTCTGTCTCCGCGTGCAGACAGGATTTAGATTCTTTGTAATGCCCTTGGATGTCTTCATAGCTCTGCTGGCAGTGGGCTGCTTGATGTGCTTTACAGAAAGACTTAATTGATTTTATTTATCTTCACTTGAGAAAATGTACTTTTTTCCCTTTTCCCTTTAGTTGCCGATCATCTGGGCTGTGATCCTCAAACGCGGTTCTTCGTCCCTCCGAACACCAAGCAGTGGATTGCCTTGCTGCAGAGGGGGAACTGCACGTTTAAGGAGAAGATATCGCGGGCGGCCTTCCACAACGCCGCTGCGGTCGTCATCTACAACAACAAGTCCAAGGAGGAGCCGGTCACCATGACGCACCCAGGTAAGCGGGCCGGCTGCAGCCTCTCCTCCGCCCCAGGTCGGCGCCTCGTGGGCCGGCTTTCCCCCTCTGCTGGAACCATGTCGTTTTCAACCGAATTCTTTGATTGTATCTTTTGGTATCACCATTTACTTGTCTTTTCCCCTTAGTGGAATTCTTTTTCTTAAATAATGACCATAAGAGCCTATGAAACTTGTACTTATTAAGAAACTGGCTGTGATTGAATCCTTAGTCACTTTACATTTCTACATTTCACTTAGTAACTTTGGAAAAGAATGCATTGGATGTAGAATCGTTTATCTTGGTATGTCATGGATTCTCAAGGCTTAACTGAGAAGATTCTTTTGTCAGAATCAGTGTTGAAACTGATAGTTTATTAACAGTAGGAATGATATGACTAATTTCTTGAAGAAACATTTAGAATATTTCTAATATATCTGTTTTAATAACAATAGCTGCAATTTATTGAGCACTTACTATATATATGCCAGGCTCTCTGATATGAGCTTCTTTTTTATTTTTGTTCTTTTTAATAGACTTTAGTTTTAGAGTAATTTTAGCAATAGGGAATGGCTTTATATTATAATTAGATACATAAAAAATCAGAATAATATGGGAAAGTAAATTGGTGCGATACTTTGGAGAGAAATTTGGCATTATCTGATACCATTTAAAATCTCATACATTGTAGTTTAGCAATTTCATGCCTAGATAAATACTTGAGTACTTTTCAAACTTTAATGTGCATCCAGATCACCTGGGAATCTTATTCCAGTGCAAACTGTGGTTCAGTAGGTTTGGGATATAGCGTGAGCTTCTGTACTTTTTGTAAGTTTCCAGGTGGTGCTAATGAATGCTACTCTGGTCCCCAGATCTTGCTTTGAGAAACAAAGAAGACAGGCAGGAAGCAGAGATTTTAATCCCATGATCTCCACCAGCCTCCTCTGTGACGCAGGCCCCGAGTTTCCCCCGAGCAGGCAGGCCTCGGCGACTAAACCTGGTTCTCTGGCAGGCTGCGGGTCTCCGCTCTGCGGGACAGCAGCGGGAGGTCTTGGTGTGCTGAGGCTTTCGCGCTTTCCTGGCTCATCTATGGCACAGCTGCGGTCGCCCTTCTCTCCTGCAGGACGGCGCTGCCCACGTGAGGGTCAAGGACCCTTCTGTCAGAGCCACAGCCCAACCCCTCCCCCCAGGGGTGGACCCAGAAATCCGGGTTAGCCCTCCCTTGCGCACGTGTCCGTTCTGTCCACCCTTCGCTTGAGGCGAGAAGCCTTTGTGCTGTGCATTCTCGTGCGGGCCAGTGTGAGCTCGTAGGAGTTGAGAAGACCAGCCCCAGCGCACGCCCTCAGTGCGGCGGCCTTCGGAGGGCCTCCCGGCTCTGCGGAGGGCCACCGCGCCCGGGCACTGCGGGCGCGCGCTGCTGAAGGACGGCCTGGAGACGTGCTGTGTTGTTCAGCTCCCTGGTTTTCAAATTCTCCATTGCTAAGTGTGAGGAGTTCGTTTTCATGCCTTGTCGACGGTGTTCAAGAGCTCGCTTGTTCTTGTTCTAACCAGCGCCCCTCAGGGGTGACGGAAGGGCCCCTCCCAGCGCCGGGTCCTCAGCGTTGCTGCAGGGACGACCGTGCCACCCGTGGTTTCTCTGGTCCCTTCTGGTTAGCAGAACGGCTGAGCGTGTACGTGCTCACGTGAAGGGGGTGTGAGACGCTCTTGGGTAGGTTAAAATAACACGCACTTGTCTGAAAGTGAAGGCTTTATTTTCCTGGTTTTAAAAAACTTATATAGACTTTACTATTATTTAGCAGCCTTAAATTATGTCATATTATGTCAGGTTATTATCAAATTGAAAATCTCTTTTATAGTTCTATTTGTGTCTGTAAGAACCTATAGATAGTCTTTCCATTGTTTAAAGAAAACTGGGGTAATTTAGAGATACATGTAACCAAATGATAATTCTGTTTTTCTGTCTTTTTAAATCAGCAGTATCAGATGCTCTTTATTGTTCCTTTGGTTGAACAGAATTAGTTGACTCTTCACCTTTTTTCCATCTTATTCTCTTGAATGTATTATCCAACAGTAACTAGGAAATGTAGACTATTCATTAAGTGAACATTAAAATCACACTTTATGAAAATAAGATAAATGACACTTTGCAAAATACCTTTAAGTATCAGTAATATGAGCCACTTAATATAAATCTATTACCTTTATTCTAAAAGCCCATCAAGAAAATGAATATAATAGGCATTCTGTTGTTTGCTGTGTGAAGTTTTTGGGTTCTAGTTGAACGTGTATTTTATCGCCTGAGAGAAGACGGAGCCTGCAGCGGAATCGCTGCTGTGGCAGAAGGAACCGTCTCACCTGCGCCTGTCTTCTTGCCTTAGTCTGCAGTATTTCTAGAATATCTTCTAGGTGATCCATACATTTTTTTAAAAATTCATAATTATCCCAAAAACTCTAAAACTGAATCACTTAGGTAGTGTAGTTGCTTTTTAAAAATAAAAATAGATTTTAAATAATAACTGCTTGATGTTTCTGTTGTCAAACTTGTGCGTAAGCGCCGAGTTTCCCATCGTTCCTCTCCACCGTGGGAGGGCGCCGTGAGCCCCTCGCCCCGTCGGACGCCAGAGAGAACGTCTCTGCGAGCCCCCCGGCCGGCGGTTGGACGGCGCCCTCGGTTTGCCTTTGTGCCTCCGCTGCGCGCATCCTCCCCCCTCCCGCAGGAGGCGGCGGAAGCTCGGACAGCGCGGAGGGCCCGGACGGGGTTAGGATGCGGGTTAGAGGGCAGCCCCGGCTCCAGGCCGGAAGACGCGCGGCGCTGACCGCTGAGCGTGTGATCGGGACCCTGGATTCAGGCGGCCCCTCGGCGTTAGTCCCGCGGCGCGGCGGCTGCGGGGGGCGCGGCGCCCAGCGTCCGGGCCACCGGCATCGGGGGCTCTGGAGCCTTGCGGTGGGGGGGCCCTCCGGGTGCTCGCTTGCCGGTGTTCCCGGCTTTCTCGCGGGGCCGCCGGAGGAAGGGGCATTCGGGGCGGGGTCACCCTCTGCGCCGCGGGGCGCTCGCGTTGGGGAATGGCTGGCCTCCAGGCCGCCGGCCCTCCGTTTCCGCCGCTGCGCAGACCCTCTGTCAGGCTCGGGGTCTGGGATCCTTGGGGGCGTGACAAGGGGCCCCACCTCCGTGAGGGGTCGGACGGGCGTTTGTATTTACCCGCTTACTAACATTTCCGGAATTCTTCCTTCTTTCTGCGGTTCTGAGTCCAACTGTTGTCATTTCCCTTTCAACCTAGATCATCTTTTAGTCATTTCTCGCAGCACAGGTCTGCTCGTGACGAATTCTCCATTTATCTGAAAATGGCTTTGTTTTCTGCCATCGCTTTTCAAGGACAGTATTTTTCCTTTCAGCACTTTTAAAAGTTTTGGTTTCGTAGCCTTCTTTTATTTTCTGATGAGATGCTGTTCCCTTTTATATAGTGAGTCTTTTTTTAATAATCTCTATTTTTTAGAATAGTTTTACAATAAAAAAAAATCGCAAGGACGCCACAAAGGACTCCCACAGACCCTGCTCCCCGTCTCCCCAACGTTGGCACTTGCCTTTGTGTGGTTCGCGCGTCCCCTTCGTGAGCCCGTGTTGACATGTCGCTCCCTGAATGCCCCTAGTTTTTACCTGACGTCCTTTTTCTGTGCCAGGATCTCGTCCAGGACCCACAGGACATTTAGTCCTTTGTCTCCTTAGGCTCCTCCGGGCTGGGACGGTTTCTCAGACATTCCTTGTTTTGATGACCTTAATAGTTTTGAGGAGAACAGTTCCTCACTGGGGACTTATTTGATGTTTTCCTCACATTAGACGGAGGGTGTGGGTTTTAGGAAGGAAGACCGCAGAGGTGAAGCACGTCTGTGTCCCTCCGTGTCGTGGGCACGTGCTGTCAGCACGGGTGGCCGCCTGCGCGAGGCGGCCTGCGCCCGGCTGGCCCCCGCTCCCCGCACCGCACTCTGGGGAAGGAGGCCGCTGTGTGCGCGGAGTTAGGCCCCCGCCTCAGGGCAGAGGGTTATGTGCTTATTTTGAATTATTCTGCATAGATGAGTTATCCCTTCTCCATTTATAAATTTACTCAGTTATTTGCTTTTATATTGGCATGGACTCATGGACCCTTATTTTACACTTTGCATTATCACGCAGCACTACTTCATTTTGTCGCTCAAATTGTCCCAGCGTCGGCCACGGGGAGCTCTTTCCGTCGGTGACGCTGCCCTTCGCCAGCCCTCCATTCCTGGGGCACTGGTTGATGGGGCGTGCTGCCCTGGAGCGCACCCATACTTCTGGCGCCCTGAGGTGCTCCAAGCTCATTGGCCTGTGCACCCGGTGCCAGCACTGGGGTCGGCCATCCCTCCCGGGAACCGCAGACTCTTCATGGAGAACGTTGCTACAAATCAGGACCTGGGCATTGGGTGTCTTTTTACTTAAGCTTTGTTTCTTCTGGGCCTCTCAGCTGACAGAGCAAGGAAATACGTGTGTGCGCTGATCCTTGGGTGTGCACCCATCTGTAGATCTTCCTTCTGGCACCATCTCTCTTTATTCAGCCCAGAGCGACCCTCCATGGCACGGATTGTCGTACGTAGTGCCTCCTTTGGCTTACCTGTACGCTCCCACGCCAGCAGTGAGAAACTGGCCCCCTTCCGTTCTCTCGATGGTTCAGTTCGCCGAGCTCCCGGGCTTACAGCCTTCAACATAGAGACGACTGGCGGGCTCTCCGCCCTCTGGCGCTGGTGTGGGAGCCGATGTGGATAGCGCCCCCGCCCCCGCCCAGGGATGTTCTCTGGAGTGCCAGCCCTGTGCCTGACCTTTCCTCCTCACCCATTTAAAACTCTTTTATCCAACACTTGAAAGAAAACCTAAAAGTATCTTAACTTGAAAATGACACAAAACTAGGTGGGTCTTGGAACCCATGTAATGGCAAAAAGAAAAATTTCATCAAGTCCACCTGCAGGTGGGTTCAAAAATTAGTGAGCAGTGT